AAATATATGGTTTTAAAGCTTTTTAACAGTTATAGCGCCACCTATTGTCCGATCTCCATAAAATTTTGCATGCTTGTTAATGATGTTATGTCACATATGCTCACCAATTTTTGTAAAGTTCTGAGTTTTTATTTATGATTTATAGGGTTTTTAGTGTATTTTGACACACCCATTTTCTAAATGACCCTGTTATAGCGAATCAAAGGGCAAATTTCAACTTTTTTTCGGTAATTGATCTAGAGAGTCCAGAGAATTGTCCTAGACTGGTCTGGTTCCGATCGGACGAAAAACCAGGGACTAGTTCGCAAAATATAGAGAGATATACATGGAGTATATGGAGATATACATTTTGTCCGTCTTGAGCCAAGGATCACAGTGGTGTAAAAAGCTTGAGGCTAGGACCAACGGTCTAGGAGTTATGAGCAATTTAGTACTTTTGGTTGCTGTAGCGCCACCTATGGGCCAATTGGGGTCATACATCTAAAGAACTAATAATAATTTGGATCAGTATAAGTGAAAAGCTTGATACCTAATATTGACTGAAGTCATTGTATGCTTTTGAGGTTTTTGTAAGGTTTTGGACAGTATTGACTCAAGTGTTACTACATCTTTCTAAAGGAACTACAAATTATTTGGATCAGTATTCTAAAGTGAAGATCATAGGAACACACTAATGACTCAAGTGTTACCAAATCCATCGGAAGGAATTACTATTCAAAATTTGACAAAATTCTCAAAAGCTTAAAATGACTTTAGTCAATATTAGGTAGTTATCATGGTTTTCACTTTTAGAATGCTGATCCAAATACTTAGTAATTATTCATTAATGAAGGAACTGTTACCTTATTGGTAATATATCGTTATCTTTTTCAGAATGTATTTCCTTGGAAATTAACCCATGACTTTGGCGCTGCTATATGTCTGCATCATATCCTGACTGAACTGAAAAGTTCTTTACTGGCATCAATGGTTCCATGAAGAACCTTTAACATCCATGGAAACTTTCCATTGCACAAAAGGTTCTTTACAGTAGAACAGGATTTTTTAGATTATTAAAATGTTCTTCGCACTAAGAGGAAAATGGTTATTTTAAGAACTGTTCACTCAAAGGCTCTTTGGGGAACCAAAAATGGTTTTTCTATGGCATCGCTACAAAAAACCCCTTTTTGAACTTTTATTTTTAAGGGAGTCATGGTCAAGACCCAGATTTATGCATGTTTTTCATAATGTATAACCAAAGAAAAATTGCAACTGTTTGTTTTGCTGAAATATAATGATACTTGCTCTCAAAGTTTTGTGTTTAAAAGGCAAACAACAAGACAAGGAGAGTTTTATTGTATTGGCTCAGATTCCCAAGACACTTGCTTATTTCCCAACAGGTCTGAAAGGAGAACAGGATAAAAACAGGATTTTATGTCAGATTCAAACAGATTTCATTACTTCAATAAACAATCTGACAGGAAGTCAGTGTTTTATAAGGCAAGTAGACAAACTGTTGACTGACCAAATATAAAAGTTTACGAATCAGCCTTTGAAAAGCCCATATTGGTCCTACTGGGAATGTTACATCCAAAAAGCCAAAGATATGCCTCTATTTGTTTTTGTTTTTATAGATGTTTCATTATTAATACAGGTTCCTAAAGCAGGGTTATGACAGTTCACTAAAACTAAATCCATTAAAAAATTGTTTTGCCACTTGAAATAAAATATAAAAAAGTATTTTATTGAACTTAACTCGTTTCAGCTAGTTGTCAAGACAATATTTCTCATTTTGATTTAGTTTAACTTGAATATAACTTAAAATAACTAAAACCGAAAAAATAGACTATATAGGAAAAATGTATAAAATGGCAAAACAAAATAAAAAGCCCTTTAAATTAAGCATTAATTATTATTGTTAATTAATGAAATTTAAAATGAAAATGGAAAATATAAAAATAAAAAACAAATAATAACTATAATGGCAGCTCAGTGATACTAAAATAACACTGTCTTAAATACAATTGTCATTAAAAACACTGAATTAGTTTTGCTACAAAATATCAATACTAAATAGATCAACAATTGGTCTATGTAGCAAAACTACATTCTAAAACTTCTAAACTTCTACATTCTAAACTTAAAATAAAAGGTATAACTTGAATAAAATGAGCCTCTTCCAAATGCATAAATGCGATATGATTGATTTCAATGCACAGTCAATAAATACACCCACAAACTATAAATGCCTAAAACATAATGTTAATTTATAATGTCACTTTTTAACCTAGCCATAATGAAACCTTGCAAACAACATTGACAATCTGAATTAAACATATAAGTGATTTATGCTCTAAATCCACCAGAAACACCAGCAGTATATCAGCAGATTTTGACAGATGTCACTGACTTCAGCTATTCCCTATAAAGGAAGTATTTATAAAAATGTTGTTGCTTAAACTACTTCCTCCGCTATGAATCTCTCAATTCCCTGCACAAGTCAATAGAGATTGAATCACCAACCCGATCTCACGGCAATTGGTATGAATGTTACGAGGTGGCTAATTCGTACGAATTCATACGACCTCACCCGTACGAAGTAGTAAGATTTTTGCAAAATCGTACATATTTTACGAGTTGCCAAATTCGTATAAATTCGTACGAATGACCTATCCCTGACCCCGCCCATAAACCTAACCAGACAAATTGTAGGAATTCGTGAGATTGTACGAATTAGTCACCTTTTAATCACTCGTACGAATTCGTACGAATTGGTCGTGAATCACTCATCTTCGCTCACTTTGCACCATGTATGGTTTAGACAGAGCAAGTGATAGAGAAGCAAAATAAAGTTTTAATAAAGGTCGTTTGAAGGATTGGACGTGGGGACCAAAGACGCTGAAAGACACTGCTACACTTTGAACTTGCAATTACTCCACCATTGAAAATGACAGATTAGAATGATCAACCAATAGAAAACGACTGTTTCCCTGTAATTACAAAACAGACAGAGACAAAAAGGAAACAAAGGGCATAAAGCATCACAATACACATCCCGTCACCACAGACACTAATGAGAAACCGATAGAGAGAATGTGGGGACGGGAAAGATAAACGGGTAAAGCACAAGTCTGTTCATTTAGAAAAGCTCCAAAGACGTAAAAATGATTATCAACGTTCGTTATAAAACTCTTCATAATTGGTGTCAGAGTCCAGTTTAGATTTGAAAAGAAATTCTAATTGACTAATGTGTTGGGGGAATTTGTGTGGAACAATTGGGACAAAGGACTTAGGAAAGATGATATTTGTTGAAATTTGTTGAACCTCTTTAAAAACACGGCTTTATATAGCAGAACCAGTGCAGATCAGAGCAGACTGTTTGTTGTGTGTCAGAATGAATATTGTTTACTCAGGTAAAGTCATATTACGATTTGCTTTGTTAAATGCTTGATGGCCTCAACACAATATGCCACTGCATACAAGCAAAGCAAACAGAAGCACAATTACAGAGAATACATTAGGATTAAAGGGGAAACAAGGCACATTTTCATTTTAATTAAATATGTTTATTATTTATTTCAGAAGATATGGCTCAGGGAGCATGGGGGATAATCAGTTGATTTCAAAAGCATTATGGGAAATAGAAGAAGCGGAATTGAGATGCATAGATAACATCATGCTGGGCATTATTATAGTGTTTCACTGTTAATTGCATTTGAGCTTTTCAAACTTAAAACTTGAAAAAAAAAAAAAATCTGAAATGCAATAAAATAGTAATTTTGTGACCATAATGTAGCTAGCTAAACACAATCAGCAGGGCAATAAAAGAAATGAAAGTTGACTTCTTGTTTTCTTTATTTGAGAATGTTTACATGCACATCACAATTGAAATTAAGCTCATTAGAACCTGATAAATGTGTTTTCATGAGATTACATGTTTTAATTTTTCTCCAGTATTGACGCCAGTTTATTAAGCAAATCACTTGCATTTTTTGGATGAAACGTGTCTATTGTATTAAGAAATGTAAGTGTAAGTATTGCTTCATTTATTTGTCGGCTTGCATTCACATCATTCTCTAGGGCACAGCTGATTGGTTCCTGCTACAGAACCCTCCACCTTCCCCAGCTCCACCTGTATAGATCTGCTATGGGTAATTAATGTATGCTACAGTATATTGTACAGCAGCAGCATGTCTTACTTGCTCACAGCAGTGTGTCGTGTATGTATTGGCAGTAGCAAGTCCCGTACTTGCTCTGCAGTAGCACCAATAACCAACAGCAGCAGCGGCGTTGCAGATCGATTCCTCCAAGACCAAACATATTAATGTTGTCATATCCATTATCATGCCGAGGACAGTTTCATGACAGAAATAATTGTTTTCCATCACCATATTCCATTAGGGGCTCCGTACACATTAGCTGGTTGGACAAACAAACTAGCCGTGGTACATGGCAAGATTAAAGGCAGCAACTCTGTGAAAAAATAAATATATTTTTCACATTCAAATTACAAATGGAGTATCCTAATTCTAGGCTGTTTTGTTTCTCTGAATATTAAACCCACTTTCCAAGGTTTGGTGCTGGGGACTGTACTCACAACAAAGATGTTTGCTATGTAAGTAAGTAAACTTTGTTCCTTCACCCCTGGGGAAAAAGAGAGCTGATAGCTCACAGAAAATGTAAACATATATTTTCCCACAAACTCTGGAAAAAAAACTTTGGCCATGTTTATCATACGTTCAGGCTCATGTTTATTCACTCTAAACCTAGATGTTTATTCTGGGAGATAATGTAATTTTAATATACAGTACATATACTGTAGTATACATCAACAGGGTAATATTTTACTTTTAGCTTCATTCCATACACTTGTAGAACTTTTCTATTTCTACCCTTTTTGTTTTTGTTTGTCTCATTAATAAACATATACATTGGGTATAGTGAAAACCTTAAAGGGAACCTTAAAGCAGTGTACTAAAGATTTTGAAATATGCTATCATATATTAAGGGAAATAAATTATAACTGATCTGCAGGGCAACTGAGTTTTGATTGGAGCATTTTGTCCACTCTCAACGAGTCAGCTTTTTACAGTACACTACACTATTAATAGGCACAATGACCCCTCAAACAAAAGGGTCAGTTTGTAGTGGTGCCTCCAACAAGCTCAAGCCAGAACTGTGTACTCGCAAAAAAAAAAAGGGTAGGAAACCAACAGCAGGCTTTACAGCTAACCTGACACTGCCTAGGTGGTTCTTTGTGCAACGGCATCACAGACCTCTTCGGGTTCACACGGTAAAAGATCACTTCTCTGTTTGAACATAAGTATTTACCAACACAGAGTTTGTTAGAAGGTTTATACTTTTGCAACAAATCCAGCATACATATACTTTGGAGTCCAGAAGTCTGTAAATCTGGAATGTTTTTTTTTTTTCATTTCGAACTGGAAATAGAATATTTAGAACAAAGTGACTAACATTTGAATAAATTATGTTAAATGATTCAGAAATGGACTAGTTCTAAATCACTAATCAAATAAATGTGTGAAATTGATCATACGAACTCTTTTGTAGACGGCCAGATGTTCTTGCTTCCATCGAAGCACAAAATGCTCTTTGGAACATCTGAATTTATCCTGGAGAACATGATTATCAGATTTTTGTTCTTGTCAGCTTAAAGCAAAAGGTCACAAACTAAATACTTAGTTATTCTGAAATTCAAACAAATGTTTCAACTTTTATGAAATTATATTATCTGATATCATTTGTAATGAAGAAAAAAATATTAAATTAGAAACGACTGCAAATGGAAGGAGACTTTTTGGACCCCATAAAAGAATTACCAAATGTCTGGTTTTTGTGTAGGGTGATGTCATACCACAAAAACGTGCTATATAATTATCACGAGTGACAAGTGAATTATTGTAATGATTATCTGTACAGTAAAGGATCAGTGAGCATTGAAAAGGCTCATTATGGAAGGCACCAGAGGACACATTTTGCAGCTAATGGTGATGGGCGTTTTGCTGGGGTAAGGTTCTTAATACCCATAATTCCAAAACCTCTTTCAAAGTATCCTATATAACAAATTACAGTTCGTATTCCATTTACGGTACAGAAATCCATTTCACTGAGAAGAAAAGACCTCCATCTGTTAGCCGCATAGTGCTTTTATCTCAGACTGTTTCGCTTTGTCATACCTGCTATTATTGTGAGCAAATGAACCAATTATCTAATTTCATTATAACCATCCATTATAGATAAGCATGATGTTTTCACAGTAATCTTGTATCTTTTTAGTAAGACAGATAAGAATGCATTTTTCCCACCTCTCACCTCTGCTTGACCTCATAGCACGGCCTTCCCAGTACACAGGGCCGTCCAGACACCTGAGTATGACGACACCTCCACGCCTGAGATCCTGAACCCTTCCTGGATGGCCACCATCCCTGACATCTACTCCCTATCGGATGTGACGATGCCCGGCACACACAACACCATGGCCCTGTACGGCGGCTCACTGTCCGAGTGTAACTCCTGGTCCCTCGCTTTCCAGCTGCGCGCCGGGATCCGCTTTCTGGATATCCGTGTTCGGCATGCGAAAGGAAACTTGACCATCCACCACGGAATCTCGTATCAGTATGCTCACTTTGGGGACGTGTTGATGGACGTGGTGGCTTTCCTGAGAGAGTATCCTTCGGAAACCGTGCTGATGAGGCTGAAAGAGGAGTTGAGTAACACGCGGGATATCTACGGGGCAGTTGTGCGCTACATTAATGAATATGCGCACTGGGACCTGCTGTGGCATAGTCGCGAGATGCCCAGCATGGGAGAGGCGCGAGGAAAGCTAATCGTACTGCAAGACTTCACCGGCCCTGACCTGGGTATACTCTACAACTCACTGGACATAGCAGATGACTGGAAGGTAAGCACACACTTGAAACAGTTAACCCTGGGTTATTCTAAACCCTGGGTAAGCAGAATCCTGGGTTATCTTGCTTAACTGTTCACATTGCTCATTATTGACCTGGGGTTGACAATTAATCCTGTATTCATAAGCTGCTGTTTCACACTGTGCGTACCGCAGAACCGGATTTCACCAGATGCAATATATTCCTAGATCATCATCTTTGTTGATCATGGAACAACATTTCCAATCAACCAATCAGATTTGAGGGACACGTTTACGGCTTATGTCAAGTTTAGGCTTACAACCAGGGTTAGGTGCTTCTACATTAGTGCTATTTACCATCATTTCCCTCTGATTTTAGGGATAACTCATGGTTAGGGTTAGGTTTAGGGGTAGGGATATGGTTAGGACTAAATATTCGGACAGGAATGTTGTTCCAGGATCAACAAAATATATTGATCCAGGAAGGCGTCTAACTCTGCAAAATCAGGACGTGCGAACATTCCTAAACCCTGGGTTAACGTCCATATTTGCATATTTTTGGTGTCACTGATTGGTCGAACGGCGCACACAATATTCAAGATTCTTTATTATTATCACTATACTAAGGTATAGCGAAATTGGAGGAATCCTTACAGCGTCATCACATATAACTCTGTGCAAGCTAAACGTCTAATTTAAATGAATACAATTGAAGTCAAATTCCAAAGAAACAATACGATAATAATCAATATACAGTACAATACGTCAATAAACAGTATGCCATAAGCAATACAACGCAAAAACAATACACACAAAACCAGTACAAGCAAGGCGAACAGTCAAATATTGGACAGAAATATTGAAATGAAAAAGAGGTAAGTGCAACAGAATGTAACCGAATTTGAATAATATAGTGTAAACATATACTAATTAGACACACTGAGATATACAGAGGGTGTTGTTATGTCTCCACAAAGGCTTGGCATGGCTCATCCTCATATTATATTTTGCCGACTGTACTATCTGTAGACTTTTCGGATTATTAAGGTTAGAAAGAAACAGTCTCTGTCACCATTTGACATTTTCCCCCTCAAACGCTAAAACTATGTTTTTACAATGTGCTGTGTTTCTGTTACTGTCCAAAGTATGTGAATATTAGGAGGAGGGTTTCATAACCCGGGTAAAAAGCAGTGCTAACCCCGCTTCTGAACTAAGTGTTAAAAGTTCCTTTACCCAGGGTTAAAAGTTGTGTTTAGAATGACAATAACCTGGGGTTAAGCAGTGTGAAAAGCCATATTGATGGATTTGTAAATATGGGAAGATTTTTTCAGCATGTTTAATGTCATAATGTAATTTATCATCTAATTTTTCTGAACCAACAAATGTAATTTCCAAATTTTAGATTCATGAAGCAATGGTCATGGAAATGAGATTTTAAACATTTCCACAGAGAAGGAAATGAATAGTTGAAATAAAGTCGTTATTTTTGTTTGTTTTTGCGCACAAAAAGTATTCTCGTCGTTTGATAAACTTAAGATTGAGCCACTGTAGTCACTTGGACTATTTTACCGATGTCTTTAATAACTTTTCGAGGCCGGCAAGTTCAATCCCTGAAGAAGCCTATGGACTAGTATGGAGGAGTGATCCAGCTCTCAGATTTCATCAAAAATATCTTAATTCGTGTTCCGAAGATGAACGAAGGTCTTACGGGAATAGTCATTAAGGGTGCTTTCACACCTGCCTTGTTTAGTTCGGTTGAATCGCACTAGAGTTCGTTTTCCGAATTGGTGCGGTTCGTTTGGGTAGGTGTGAAAGCAGCAATCGCACTCGGGTGCGCACCAAAAGCGGACCAAACAAGCGTACCGAGACCTCCTCGAAGAGGTGGTCTCGGTACGCTTTCAAACGAACTCTGGAGCGGTTCGTTTGTGGTGAGAACGTGATCCGAACTCGAACAGACCCAACTGTCAGAGAACTGCGTATTTTTGGACTAAACCAGCTGCCGTAGTCAGCCGCGCTGTGTTTTATGGGATGAGGAATAATGTTTGTTGACATTTTGCACTAGCATGCAGCTCGCGGACAAACGTGGAGTTCTGAGGAGGTGCGACTTCGCCGCGTGCAGTGCATTAAAACATTTTGTTCAAGCCGCATCCTCGATTCATTATGAAATGTAATTGTTTGCCTAAAGTAATATACTATGACCAGGGATACTATCAGCCCACGCAGTCGTAGACTCTCCATAGTCAAACGCTGTCTGCCGGATTTTCCTCCTCTTTGTTTACTTCCGGGAGCTCTGGAATTTTCCCGCACGTTGATTCTGACCAATCGAAGTGCAGTTACCTCTGGCCAACGAGTGATGTGGATGTTGTCACGTGACTGCATTTTGGTTCGTTTCATCAACTCATCATCTGATTCGGACCAGAGCAATCAGTGTGGTGTGAAAAGGAACCAAAACGCCTGAAAATGATACAAAGTATCATTTTTCGCCCTTAGTCCGGACCAAATGAACCGAACTACAGGTGTGAAAGCACCCTAAGAGAATAGGGACAACCCTTTTAGACCATGCACCGGGCTCGCCGACCATTTTTCCTGTTGTTAAAATAGCAAAAGTGGATTTGGACACGATCTAAGTGCATTTGCGCCATACGCTTTACCATGCGCTTAGATGGTTAAAATAGGGACCTTACTGAACACAACCAACTCCTGTAGAAACGCTGCTATGCATGACAAATGAAAAGAATATGTGAATGAAACGGTTTCCTCTTCACTCTAGTTGTAGTGTTTTCGGTCACCATTTCACATTTCCCCCCACAAACGCTGAAACAACTGTTTTTTACAATGCGCTGTGTTTCTGTTACTGTGCTAGTCTCAGCCTCAGACGTCACACCCACAGACCGTTGGCATAACGTCTGATGCATACATGCATTCAGAAGTTTTGAAGTTGTCATCTGATTGGTTGAATTCTCCAGGATTTCCGGGAGATGTTTGAGTCGCGTTCTTTAACAGTCTGTCTGGAAACAAAGCCATCGTGACGCCAACCCCCCTCAAAAGCCTTCGTGTTTACAACTGTGACAAATGAAAAGAATGTGTTTTAAAATCGGCTCAAAATATCAATCATGTTTGACATCCTCTGACTAAATGGAGTCATATCCTGAAGCTAGAAAACCAAAGTCTGTGTAATTCATACAATGTGATTTTCTGTGGTAGACTCCGACTGCGCAAAATCTGCAGACTGAAAAAAATGATTTTTGCTGCTTGTTCAAATTGCTTAATTAAAATTAGCTTAAGCAACACAATTGCTTTACATTTTGTCCAAACTTAATTTGATTGTGTCCAATCTGCTTAAATTTATGTACAATTTAAGTTTACTTAATCCATTTGTGTTGGATTACATGAATGATTTGTGTTGCATTAACTGAAACTGGGCGGTGCATGTTACGAGAGAATAAATGTTGAAATGAAGTGTTATTTTATATTTTTTTGAGAAAATGAGAAAAAAGTTAGTGTGTAATTGTGTTTAATGTTCAATTACATTGGAATTATTAGAACCATTTAAATTACAGTGGGTTACCATTGTGGAGAAGAGTGGAGCATTTGGTTAGGCTGTGGACCGATTCAACTATGCTTATAGCAACTGCTGTTGCTGAAGGTGCATGTACACCTTAGCATTTAGGATGCTAATAAGTACTATAGGTAGCTAAATGCTTGCTATATACTAGAAAGTGAGATGTGTGATGCTAAAATACATTACATCTTCATTGGATAAATGAATATGAATTTGAATACCTGAATCACCCAATCAGGGAGCATTTTAAAATTCACTTTGAAACAACTTAATTGGTTAACTTAAAATGACTTAATTCCATGATGTTGAAGTTACATGAATAAATTATGTTTGTGTAACTTAATTGGTTCATGTGGGACCGATGTACACTATCAAATCATGTAAATCCAACTCACTTTTTTTTTTCAGTGCTGCCTCTGACTTTCTGCAACTAGTACCAACTCCTTCAGACTGTGAATTGGGGCAAATATCTGAGCAAAAGCAGTGTAGTGTCTGGAAGCCTTTTCCGTACGTACATCCGCAATGTGCTTGGATGAATTCTGGTCTCAGGTGAAGCTTTTACAGAAAGCCTTGGCCCTACGCGAGGCACTTGACTGTTAACTGGCTGTGGAACACAGCAGGAGGTAACTAGCTTTACATCTTCAATGTCACGCTTCTGTGTCCCATCATCTCTTTCCCCCGTGTCTATGACATCACATGAGTGCTCCCGTCCCTGGCTCTGCACACACCCGGGTAACAAGGCACGTAGAACGACACCCCATGAGAGGAACAGAAGGATGACAGAAAGTGTGTGAATGTGTTTAGCTCCGCGTCCAAATCGTTTTTCCTCCCTCTGCTGCATGCAGATTGGGACAATGAAAAAGTGGGCTGCGAATTTGATGCAAGACAGGCTGTGACTGAAGACGACAACAAGGCCATCAAATGCGTCGAGTGAAAGACCAGTGTTGTTACTTGGGGTAAGAATCATAAGAAGTTTAATTATTACGATTCCTCTTCCTGTTTAAAGATTTAGTTACTTAACAGTTCCATTAATGATACATTTGAATTTGAGGAAGGGGGGGATATGCAATTCTGTTGCCAAATCATTTTAACAATAATAGTAAAGCAACAGATTATGGTAACATGTTTCATTCATCCCTTATTTTTATATGATGAAATTAGTGACTTTTACAAGACGGAATTAATAAGTTCAATAAGTGAGTCTGATTAACTGCTCCATCTGATTCATAAGTGTTTGTGATTCACTAAAAAGATCCAGTTCTTGAGAGTCTTTCACTCAGTAATCTGACTTCACTGGTCACGCTGTATGTATTGCTTAAGTGAAAAAGTACTGGCAGTTTGCTTTTAATTCACTTATACCGACTCATAAAAGTCTTTTGCTCAGAATCGGATTCACGGATGGTCAGGCTGTATGATTCACCAACAAGAAAGGGCTCATATTAGTCATTCACCGGAGAATCAGAGTATGTTTACACCACAACGATGTAGTAA